ATTATTATTTTCATATCTCACACCGACCACTGTCTCCCTTCCCCCATGGTTTCTGTTGTTCATCCCCCTGAAGGGTGTGTGTGTGATGGTGTGTCGATCATTATGCTCAGTTCCCCCTTCCTTCCCTCCTCTCCCCCTCTTTCCCCCCCCACCTACCCTCCTGGTATTGCTATTCCCATTCCTGCTCCTGGGATGCGTGTGTCGCGACCCCTTATCTCTTATCTGTCTCTGTGTACATGCTCCGGTCTAGTCCGAAGTGAGAGGCAGCCCTGGGGTGATGATAGTGGTGGGGGTGGGGTAAGGAAGCCTCAAGGAACCAGAGGAATATTGTGTGTTTCATTGGTGCTACACTGCACCCTGGATGACTCCTCCCTTCCCTGTGGGGGATGTCCCGTTGTCTACAGATGGGTTTGGGGTCTCTGCTCCGACCCCCCTAGTTCTCAACCATATGTTTTTGTTTGAACTGGAATTTCTTATGTGCATTGAAAGTCCCACTTTTCTCCCACAGAGCCGCTGCTTAGCAACCCAATGTGTCAGCACTCCTCCACCAGGGCTCCTTCCAGCCGAGCGAAACACACATACTTCTCCTTTCACAGGTAAAGGCCCTTCCTCTTCCTCCTGAGCTTGAGAATATGGAACTCTGGACAGAGGCACCCCTACACCTGATGGAAACTCTTATAGCTCCCTTCTACCGCTCAGCAGAAACCATCGCTCAGTCAACATAAGGAAAACATTAGTACATGGAACTAGAGAGGAGACATGAAAGGGAAGCAGTGTGGAGAAAGCGAGAGTGAGACGGGAGAAGTGGGCTCGTGGAGAGAAGACTGGGTAGCTTGCAGGATGAGCTAACAGAATGGTGGAGGTTTGGAGGGGAAAGGCTGGGTGGATGCTGGAGGAGTGTGCAGAGACACAGACAAAGGTGGAGGATGGGTGGCAGGAGGGTAAATAATGTGTGCATGGGTGGGTAGGTGGATAGATAGGTGTGCAGAGAGATGTGCGAGTGAGTACATAAACAGATAAAGAACATGAGTGTGGGCTGGGTGGGTGGATGAATAGAGTTTGTGTGAAGAGCTGGTTGGATTAGTAGATGAAGAAATGAATGGAAGCATGAAATAAAGGATCGACTGATGAGCATATACATTGCTCAAGAAAGGCATGGCCAAATGGACAGGTAGGCAGAGAAGGGAAAGTGGATGGAACTCTGGGCAGGTGTACAGATCAAGAGATGTGCCGACGGGTGGATGCATAGGGAGAAGGAGGAGGATGGACGGATGGAAGGACGTAGAGAAGAGATGAACAAACAAAGGAGTAGTTGGATGGATAGACAAACGGAAGGATGAATGGACAGAGATTGAAGGCTGGGTAGATGGGTGATGATATGGATGGACAGATATGGATCTGAGGAAACATCGATGAACAGACTGTGGATGAGAAGATGAGGGGATGTATTTATATATGGATGGATGGATGGATGGATGGATGGATGGAAAGGTGGATGGCTTGAAGGATGGAGTGGTAAGTGAAGGCAGCTGTCTGGTTGGATGGATGGATGGATGGCAAGAAGAAAGGAATGAATGGATAGATGAATGAAGGATGGGTGAATGGGCATAAGTAAAGGTGAACAGAGGAAGTGGAGGATGAAGGATACATGGAAAGGTGGCTGATGCCTAAGTGGTCCGGCCGCCGGTCCACCTGGATGGACTCTTTGGCCTGTGGAAGGATGGGACGCAGGGGGGCGGAAGGAAGCCCTTACCAGGAGGGTGGACACAAGCTTGAGCACCGGCACAAACTGGAACTCCACCGAGCCCCCGACGGGGTCGCGTGCGTGCTGCCCGCCGTCGCGCACCGCCTCGCCCAGCATCCTCAGCGCCTTGTCCCGCAGGGCCTCCAGCGGGATGGCGGGGCTAAGGCGGACCGGGGCTTCGGCCCCCTTGGCGGAAGGCAGGGAGGCGACAAAACAGGGGGGCGAGAAGTGATGCGGGGGCCGCAGCGAGGTGGTGACCCCGACGCCGGGCAGGCCGTGCCGGCGAGGCCCGTCGGGCGCGCCCTGGCCGGCGGGGAAGAGGGTGATGGCGCGCGTCTGCGCGGTGAGCGGCACGATGTACTCGGAGAGCATGGAGCGGCGGCTGCGGCAGGCGCTCTCCAGGTGGATGCTGAGGAGCAGGTCGTAGTAGCCCGCGCGCAGCGCGCCGGGCAGGTGCGCGTCCTCCAGCGCGTGCAGCAGCTGCGCCTCGTCCACGTGGCTGCACAGGGCGTGCGCCACGCGGTTGTTGCCCAGCGCGCACACGGAGCGGTAGAGGCCCAGGGTGTGGGAATGGAAACGCTGCAGGTCCAGGCGCTCCGACAGCTCCAGGATGTCCATGCACCTGCGGTGGGGGCGGGCGGGCAGACGAGGCAAGACATGGGGACCCCGAAGACAAAACCCCAATCCCAACCCTTCATGGCCATCGATTCCACTCTGACTCTCGGAGACCCTAGAGGACAGGGTGGAATGGCCAGGTGGGATCCGCCGAGACAGCGACTCTGGACCAGCGGAGCAGCTGGTCCTTTCAAACTGCTGACCTTAGAGGTTGTGAGCAGCCTGACGCACCACCCACGAGGTCACCAGGGAGACAAAGAGATGCTTGTGGCTCCCTTGGGGGAGGCCAGTGTCCCCCTGGGCCTGGGTGCTGTGGCACAGTGTGTGGGGCGGGGTCTAGGGGTCTTTCAAAGGTCCAGGGCCTCCCTGATGGGATGAGAGGCCCCTTGAATATCTCCCTGCGGTGGTTGGGGGCCCTGGGGTTCCTGACGTGGAGAAGGCCTTCTGACTGAGGGGCACCTGGGAGCCCTAGATTGTGGATGACCACCTCCAGCAGGTCTGAGGCCCCTGGTTGTGTCTGAGGGACAACAGCATGTAAACTGCAGGACAGGACGTCTCTGTGGTTTTGCTTTGTGCTAGATTCCCAGCACCTGAGGCAGGGCCTCACCCATCGCTGCCATCCAGGACCGGGCAGGCCTGCCTCACGGGGATGGGGGGTGTTCTTAGGCTGTCAGTCTTTACGAGAGCGAGCAGCCTCATCTTTCTCCTGAGAAGCAGCTGGTGCTTTTGAACTGCTGACCTTGCAGTGAGCAGCCCATGAGTAACCAACCCACTATGGCACCAAGGCTCCATCTAGGGCAGTGGTTCTCAACCTGTGGGTCGCGACCCCTTTGGAGGTCAAACGACCCTTTCACAGGGGTCGCCCGATCCCATAATAGTGGCAAAATGAGAGTGATGAAGTAGCAATGAAAATAATTTTATGGTTGGGATCACCACCACATCAGAAACTATGAAAGGGTTGCGGCATGAGGAAGGTTGAGAACTTCTGTTCTAGGGGGGTCCTGGCCTCTCTGATGTCCAGGGTTCCCTGAGCTACATGAAGGCTTCAAAGAGTGTCATGGGAAAATTCCAGGAGCTCAGAAGTCCATTTTGCTAGACGCCCCATCGTACACTTGTGGGAATAGGTTGACGTTTCCTGCCCCGTCCTCCCAGCAGGGCCATTCTACTCTGTCCTGCAGGGTCGCTACCAGTTGGAGGCTGGAAGAGTTAGGTTTTGAGATCCCCTGGGGTATTTTCTGGGCTCCCTGAGATGAGTTTAGGGTCCTCTGAGTGACTCCAGGGTCCCCTGAGGTGGATCTAGGTAGGTTTGGGCCTTCCTGAAGTGAGTCTGAGGTCCCCTGAGGTGGATCTAGGGCAGTGGTTCTCAACCTTCCCAATGCCGCGACCCTTTCATACAGTTCCTCAGGTTATGGTGACCCCCCAACCATAAAATTACTTTCGTTGCTATTTCATCCCTGTCATTTTGCAACTGTTATGAATCAGGCGATCCCTGTGAAAGGGTCGTTCGGTCCCCAAAGGAGTGGCGATCCACAGGTTGAGAACTGCTGATCTAGGGTCTCCGGAGGCAGATCTGAGCTCCTGAAGTGGGTCTCCTAGCAATGTGGCCAGGGTGCTTCCTGGAGGCGAGGACGGCGAGACTTTGTCTCACAGCCTTGGCCCGGGTCATCTGGAGAGTGTGGTCCCCTGAGAAGGCCATCGTGTTGGGGAGAGTAGAGAGGCAGGGAAGCAGCCGAAAGCCCTCTCCAGGGGACACACTGTTACCATGGCTCAAGTATAGGACCAGCTGTGCGGCTGGTGCGGGAGTGGGCAGTGTTTCACTCTGTTGTCATAAGGTCACTATCAGTCGGCACTGACTCGATGGCACCTAACATCAGCAAAGTGGGTCTGGGCTCCTCTGAGGTCAGCCAGAGGTTGTCTGAGGTTGATCTAGCCACCTGGGATCGGTCAATCTAGGACTCTCTGAGCCCCCCACCCCCCACCCACCCCCACACACACCTGGAGCCCTTTGGGTTCTAGGAGGAGGGGACCTGAATTGGATCCAGACCCCAGAGGGTGTGCCAGAGCCACCCCACCCCTGGGGGCCCGGGCTGGCCCTGACCGGTTCTCCTCGGGGATGTGTAGCGCCATCATGGTCAGCGGGTCCTCGCACTGCACAGCCCAGCCCAGGCGCTCGCTGGCCCGCCGCGTCTCCACCTGCAGGAAGTGGTTGGGCATGCGGCTCCAGGAGACGGGCATCAGCATCTGCACCTCCAGCCGCGGCGGGCACTGCGGGGCTGGGTTCTTGCGCTCACTCAGGAACATGGCGGCCGACAGCGGCATGATGTTCTAAGGGCACAGAGGCACACGGGGCGCCTCAGGACCCACAGTCCTCCACAGCCCGCCACCAGGGTGACCTCCCGGGTGGCCAGCTCCCCGGCGCCCCCTCTGCCAGCCGACCTCCCCATACCTTCCACCCCTCATCCCTGCCCGCTGACCTTTAGCTTCCCCAACTCAAACTGGACAACATTCTGGTGCGTGGGCAGGACAAAGGCGGCGGGAAACAGCTTCGTGTTGGGTTCCACCTGGCAAGGGAGAAGGGGCTGGGGCTCATGGGACGCCGACTCCGGAGCCCAAGCTCTGGGCCGTGGTGCACCTGCAGATCCAGACTCCAGCGGGACAGGTGCTCCAGTGGCCTTGGGCTTGCCCGTGGGCCTCATCCCCTGACCCAGCAGGGCCATTCTCTGCCGTCTTCCCCACCACACCCTGTCGCTGGGCCTTTACACCCTAATGTCCCTCCATCAGGGGCGCCACACCTATTTCTCTCCCAGTGGCCTCTTCCATCAAGACCCAGGAAGGGTCCTCTCCCTGTCCTCTCCCTGCCCAGTGGCGCCTACCCAGCTGTCACCATCCGGGACGCCGCCCTGGCCATGCCCACCCAGCCTCTCAGGATGCCTCTAGAGCTCAACTCCCATTGGACAGGAAGAGCGTGACAAGGACATCACAGGCATGAATGGGCCAGACCCACTGGGGGAAACCAAGCCATCCCTTTGCAGATGCTTTAATGCAGTTGACTCTCCCAGGACAGGTACAAATGCAGATTCTGATTTGGCAGATACAGGGTGGGGCTCGAGGTCCTGCCATGCTCAGATCTCGGGTGGCATGGAGGCCGCCAGCCCCGGTCAGCGCAAGGTCGGCTGGACCAACAGTCCGGTTTCCCCAACAAATGAACATCACAGAGGAAAGCGATGCTGGGGAGAGGCTGCCAGACAAGAAGACTCAAGGAACAGAGCAGCCAAACCTGTATGACCTTGCTTAGGTTCTCTCCAACAAGCGAGTGGGAAAAGCCTTCTGAGATGACCAGGGGGCCTTGACTGCAGGCTGGACAGCCAATGACATTTGGAATTATGTTGTTGTTGTTTTTAACAATGATTGTGAACTAGAAAGCCAAAGATGTGTTTGGGCCATTGAAGGGTACAATTCAGCGACATTACTTATATTCACCATCTTGTGAAAGCATTATCGCTTGAAAAGGATGAGGGCAACAAATGCACAAATGTGTTTGACACAGTGGATGGATTACGATAAGAGCTGGATGAGCCCCCAATGAAATGATTTTTAAGAAGAAAAAGAAGCCATTATCACTGTCTATTTCCAAAAGTCTTCATCACCCCAAACGGAAACTCACTGCCCCTTCAGCAAGAGACCCCTAATCTCCCCTTCCCCTAACAACACTCCCCCCCCACCCATTACCTGGTAACCTCTAGAGCAGTGGTTCTCAACCTTCCTACGATGCTTGAATATAGTTCCTCGTGTGGTGGTGACCCCCAACCATAAACTTATTTTCATTGCTGCTTCCTCACTGTCATTTTGACACTGTTATGAATCGGGTGACCCCTGTGAAAGGGTCCTTCGACCCCCAAAGGGGTCGCAACCCACAGGTTGAGAACCGCTGTCCTAGGGAGCTTTGATCTATACATCTGCTTATTCTATACGTCTTATCTATGTGGGGTCTTGCAGTCTTTGACCTTCGGCCTGACTTATTAGATGCCCTTGGCATCATGTTCTCAGTGGTCCACCGAGTGTCTTGCCCGTGGCGGCGGGAGGGTGTCCCACTGGCTCGTCCCTGTCGCATTTTACTTGTCTGCTCATCTTGCCACGGGCACATGGGCTGCCCCTGCCTCGGGTGAGGGTGGGTAACGCTGCCAAGCAGACTGGTGCCAAACTGGGTTTGTTCGCCTGGATTTTTAAAAGATGGGATAGAGTAGCCTAAGGTTATGTGTTGAAAAGGGACCTTTGCATTTTAGACATGCATATGGCAAAGAGATGAAGCCATAGGATGTCTGGGATTGTCTTCAAAACCATCGGGGGGGTGGGGGGGAAGAAGTAGCAGGTAAAGATGAAACAGGAGGATGGACTGTGAGGAGATGCGAGTTAAAGCTGAGTGGTGGGTTCCCGCTGGTTTATGATGCTATTTTGGTAAATTTCTATTTAAAATAAAGTTCTGTAAAACCCATCAATGGATGGGTAGGTGAATTTTTTAAAGGAGCCCTGGTGGCACAGGGGTTAAGCACTTGGCAGCCAACTGACAGGTTGGTGGTTCAAATCCACCCAGTGACTCCAAAGATCTGCTGATCTGCTCTGGTAAAGACTTTAGCCTAGAAAGCCCCGCGGGGCCGTGGTCCTCTGTGAGATGGGGTTGCTATGAGTCAGAAGTGATGGAATGGTGCCTAGCAACAACAGGTGGATAACTGTGTGATAACCAGGGTAGTCAAGCATTGGTGGTAGACTCCACTTGGGGGGTAGAAAGGTGTTGCCCGTATCATTCCTTCGATTTTGGCATCTGCTTGACAATTGTTATAATAGAACATTGAAAAGTAGATGCTCTTGTTAAGGCGCTGGTCCTCGTGAGAGTGTGTTCTGATTGGTGTAGAAATGATGGCTCGCATCACCCGCCCAAGAGCACACACCTCTTTCCAAGTCAATGCCCTGCCCCTTCCTCCCTGGACCTCAGGAGAGTGCTCTGCCCTCTGGACCTTAATGTACCCATTTTAAATTCTAGATGCTTCCACAAGGTGGTTTCTCAGGGTCATCCCAGCGTGGGTGGGACCCGAGGACAGGACTAGGGTCTGTTTCGGTCCTGTCTCTCCAGGATTCAGGAGAACAACAGGGCTTTACTCCCTGCAAAGAGTTACAGCCTTGAAACTCACAGAGGACAGTTCTACCCTGTTCTGCAGGGTCACGGCTAGTCAGCATCCACTCAATGACAGTGAGTTTGGCTTGTTTGGTTCGCTGGGATTCAGCTGTCTGGGAGGACTGCCAAGGGTCGTGCAATTGACAGGCTGAGGGTCGGACTCACCTGGAAAAAGGTGTTGCTCTCTTTGCCATTGGCGGTAAAGGTCATTAAGCCTGTGGCCAAATCCACCAGGCAGCCAATCACGAGGTCCGTATGGCTGACTCGACCCTGCTGCCCAGGGCTCACGAAGTCCCCACCCCACACCATGTAGCAGTTGCTGCACTTGAGGCTGGAGGAGACAAGAGTGGTCACTTCAGTGGAGGTGCTCTGGACCCTGGACACATTCCCTCCTGAGCTCCCAGAGGACCGAGACCTCCTGGCCCTTCCCACAAACACCCACCACCTGCAGACTGAGGCCCTCACGCCAGAGCCTGGGATCCGTAGAAGCTGGCGAGGGTCGATGGAAGGAGGAACAGGCAAGGGAGCCGAAGGAGAAAGACGAGAAAGGAAATGATGTGGGGAAAGGACAAGAGGGGCAAAGAGCCAATGCAGAAAAGCAAGATCAGAGAAAGGGGAGACGGAAAACAAATTGGATGGGAGAAGACGCGAGGAGGGCTAAAGGCAGGAAAAGTTCTAGAGGGTTTTTACTCCATAGACAGGATCCAGGGGCCCAGGTCCCCCCCCCCAGGCACTGCCC